TCATTACCATTTGCTTTAGGTTTTAAACAAAATTTGTGGCTTAAGCTTGATTTATGTGTAAGTTATCTATTAATATTGTCAGCAAAACTTTTATTATGCTACAGGTTTCACTTTAAAATGCCTTCCTCTCTTCTGTTTCTGACCGAAGCCAAAAGGAAATCCCTCTTTTGGCTACTACAAGGAGAATCATGTACTTTAGACTAGTAACTGGCAAAATGAAGTGTTTTGTTTTTTTATGTTCAATGATCCTACTTCTAGAGTACAAATATTCTATATGCACGAAATCAAGTCGGTAGAACGAGACATAGAAAACCACGCGGTCCAAATACGGATTGCCGGGTGTTGATAACACATGCTCAATGTTATATCTTAAGTTATTACTTTTGATCGTTATCGCTTACCGTCGCGTCGCCTTAAGACTTTGATGAATCGTTTTTCTATTATAATATTAATTAACGTTTACATAAAGTCTACAATGCAATATCTATTCGATGCATAAGTGTAACTATACTAACGGTACAACTAAGTTTAAGTGAAGTAAGTTAACAGCTAGTTCAGAAGCAGTTTTAACACATTTTGTCCACGTTTTAATTAACCGTATGTTAATATTTACATAAAAATATAATCCATGCATCAGATACCTGTTACAAGCACACTAGGGGCAAAGTTGAACTAAAAATTTTAGCCTCGTACCATAAAACGGGAAAAAAACCGAATTCTTTTAGCATGTGACACAAGCTGAAATCATTAAACCGATTCCGTCTTAATATAAAATGAGGACTAACTTTAGTACCAAATTGAAACCATTATCCGACCAAAACAAATCAACACGTCTCTATTTGATGTTTTCTCCTTTGTCGCAGTTAATTTACTTTAGGCGGCCAATATCTACCAATTTTCTTCCTTGTTTTATAATAGGTTGAATGGAGTTGAAATATTGTAGGTAAACTTATGTCAATCAATAGTTTTCAAGTTATTCTGAAACAAACAGTCGTAAAATTTCGCTAAAAAAAATAACTGCTTTAACTTATAGTAAGTTGATCATATGTAAATCCGTAGGAAGCTCATGATTTGTTTTATATTTAATATATTTAAAAGTGTACGTTATCCAAATATTTAAAATCTACATTCCAGACATAGAATATATGTATATTTCAAAATCAAAAGCGGTTATCGTTGACGACAGTCTTTATTTCAATGTATATATAACATAAACAGAAAAAGGTTTTGCCTATTATTTGATCATTATCGAAATTCTCAGCATTCTGCCATATAACCAACTAACTATGAGACTTAAGTGAGGTGAGAAGGAGACGCCTACAACCCCCGCCCTTACGCACGTATCCTCTACCTTGAGTTATTAATGACACTGAAGAAGTACTGTATTTTTAGTTCACAGTAGTTAAATAAGTTTTTTTGACTTTTCTTAAAACGTAAATTTGCTTTAAAATAACTTAGGAGTGAAAAATACCATTGATACTTTAGCCATACTTTTGATTCACAAACATTATAAAACAGCATAGTTCCTTCCCAGTGGGTACCTGCGTAACATTGTCTTAACACGAAATGTGAAGATCGTTTAGGAATAAAGCGTGAATAAATATTTAATCAATTTGGAACCATTTTTTAGCAATGAAGTGTATACTCTTTTTTAGGTTTATTTGAGTTACTTCGAGTATTTTTCCTTTTCGAGGCGACTACTTAACTATCACATTAGATATTATGCTGCATTTTTCACAGTATAGTCTGGAGTACAAACAAAACTCATTGTCATAAAGAATATGAAAGTAGAATCATAAAATTCAAACTTTTTGTTTGCAGTTATAAAATTTCATTTTACAAATTTCAAAAGAAAATTTCACATTCTTCAAATCCAACTGGATGATAAATGTGCTAAGTTTTAATACGACAAAAACGTCACATCCAAACCTTACTACATCCGTAAGGAAAAGTCACCGGGGAAAGTTGTGGGGGACGCACACCGGCATGGTTTTCACTCGGGCCAGTGCCGTTTACGCTGACGCCACGAGAGGGCGCCGTTCGCGCGCGTCTGTCAACCACGTGACTTGTTGCTCTCAACCCCCTCCAAAAAAAAACAAAAGATGCCCAAAAACAAAAACACATCTGAATAATGACAATTGCCTGTCATGAATTTTATCGCGAAGCCTCTACACAAGCACGCCAGACTATTAATGCTCGCCAGTTTCGCGCTCGCTTTATTACTCGCTGGTATTCTACTCCGAGCGAACTCTAATCATCCACAGCTGACGGACGAAATTCAAGACGACGAATACGAGCCCATTACTAATGCGACCTCGGAACCGCGGAAAACGAGGAGAAAAGAATACCTGTACCGTCTCTTGACAAATACCACTCGCTCGCTCATACAAATGGAAATAAAAGCGAGGAGACTCGAGGAAAATATGCGTAGGATTAAGGAGAAAACTGCAGATTTATTGTGGAAAAATAAGGACAAAGCGTTATGGCACATTCTTTTTAAGAACATCAGTAGGCACATTTCTATAAGGCACGAGTTCCATCAGCATTCCAGTTTGCGGAGAATAATGCTAGACACTCACAAGCATTCGCACAAAGTGGAAAGGAGGAAAGTTTTTCTCCGTTAAATTAATGACAATCATTTGAAATTTAAGAACTGTTTATTAAAAAAGTGTATTTTTTTTGTTTTCGAACTGACAATAAACCTTTTTAGAAGTAAAATCAAAAGAGGATTGTATTGCAGCGTCCTGTCACATATCTGAGTAAGTGAAAATTTATTTATATCATAATTACTTTCGTAATTAATAAATTCGTAATGTTTAACATTACGTTATCTGAACTAGTAGGGAAAAATTTTGGACGATTCAAAACGTGCTTATAATAAATTTACTTATTTCATTTCAGGTGATTGTGGTACGTGTATTAGTACTAACACAAACACACACACATACACAAGAACACCAATCGAGAATTCCTATAACAGTTTTAAGGGCGGGTGCTTTTGTAATATATTTACATGACACCTGTTATTTGTCTTACTTATGTAATTATGTCACCAAGTAGATACAATAATGTACATGCCATATAACGCCTGTTGTCTAATCTACTGACTGACAGTCGCAGTATATCTTTGCTCTCTAATATATATGAGGAAACTGGCCGACCATTTGTTATAATCGTGTTATGTTTTCCTCACAAAAACATCAATCAACAACTAAGTGTCCAAACGCTTACAACGAAATTAGTTATACTGACAAACTGTCATTTGTTTATTATTCTTTGATTATTAATATGCCCACCGCTAGGTAAATATGTTTTTGTATGCAAACACACAATAGTAGAATAAAGGAACTTAAAAATACAAAATGATATCCAAGGTCAATGATACATCATTATAGTTTTTATATTTGATCAATTTTTCATTCACAATGCTGTACTGAAAAATATCCTTAATTAACATTGCTTACTAATCCAATTTGCCTCTGGCATTCAGAGCGCTTAGTGTAAGTTTTTTTTGTTTTTTTTTTAACGTTTACCGTCGGTCGTGAGCGCGTTAAGATTTTAGTATGGAATCCGGTACAGCGCCCCTAGCGGTAATTACCAAGAACTACAAATCTCCATACAAATTTTTAACGCGTTCACTAGTGAATGCGTTAGCGTAAAACTTACACTTACCACTCTGAGATGACACTCGAACCTTTCGCAATGAAAAAAAAATGTTCCTCTTATTAGGTACTATCTACTTATTGTGTTAGCAAACAAGAGTTAACCAAAGTAGGTGGTAACTATTAGAGAACAAATGAGAAACGGATGAATAGAAATATCTGATTAAAAGGATTTTTTTTATTTATACGGAAATTACTAAGTTATCAATTTTCCCATGATGAAGACTGCAGACAGCTGACTAAATTATTTGGTAATATTTCCTAATAAAAACCGACCAATTGCGAGTTTACCTCCCGAGTGTTGTTATTTCTCGCATACTTTCTTTAATTTGTTCTAGTAAAGTAAAATATTAAAAATGAATTTATAACGATTCTGTCATTTTATATAAGGAATAGTTCACAAAACTTTTTTTATTTCCAATTTTAGCAGCTTCTTACGGTTTCATTACCAAAGGGAAAAACGGGATTCTATTACTATAAGACTGCGCTGTCCGTCCGTCTCTCTCTGTCACCAGGCTATATCACATGGGCAGTTGAATGATGGATTTCTGTTGTTGCTTTAAATAAAATAAAAAAAAATGTAATGCTGCTCCTATATAACATGATTTTATGACGTTTTAATAGAACCGACAGACAGACAGAACTAGACGAATAATCTCAAATTGTTCTCAAAAGTTTTCTATTTAAGGTAGGTATAGAACCCTACAAAAAATGTTGTCTGTTGAGTCTATTCGCTATGTTTGTTTAAGTATAAACACAGATTTATAATTTTTAAATCAATTAACGTTAGGTACTATAATATATGTAAATCTAATCCATGCGTGGTTACCTACTAGAAGAGATGGAAATACATTCTTCATTCAATTTCGTTGCGGACACTACTTTTGATAGCATTTTAAAATACTCAGATAGCGTTGTTTTTATCACATAAAAATAAGAGTCGCTGTTTAGCAGTAAAAAAGTATATAAATATTAACGTAATTTTTTAACCAAAATGGCTTTATACATTTTTTTGTATTTTATAGATTTTCTGATTTTCCTTTAGCTTTGATGTTTATGGAGATTTTAGCTGGAAAGTTGTAATATTATGCGAAAAATATATATCAATGACAATGTTACTAATAATATTGACAGTTTCCTCACGTACAAAGCAATTTTTAAACTCTTCGTCATCATACTTTAAAACGTGTAGATAAAGAACAACAAGTTAACTTAAGTTCCTTTCTCAAACAGTTATATGAATGCTAACCAGTTTTTGGGTATGTAAGAACGGGGGAGCGCTAATCGTTTTGTTAAGAGTGAAACACGAAAGATTATCCAACGTCATTTTATCGATATCGACTAACCCGAACTGTTCTGTTATTTTTATTGATAACGTTATAAAAAATCTACGGCGCTATGCGTATAACTATCAAATCTCTGATGGAATATGAATCATTTGATTATTTAAAATTGATTGATTTATTTTAAATTCTTGATTAATTCAAGTTTACACACATAATGAATTAAAGTATAAACATGACTGTTATTTTATCGTTATAATTTATATAGCGTTTTAACGTGTTTTTTTACGCATCACTCATTGTCAAATCAACCGATGCGCGTTACATTCGTAGAGGGCATTCTACTTTAAATATCATTATAAGTTGTTCACTCATCGACCATGGCGTGCTGTAAGTAGTTTGCGACAGTGATTTGTTTTATATTAATTTAACGATGTAGTTAAAGTTGTTATGTATTTATTTTGTGCCAGTCGTTTGTTGTTTGTCCTCAAGGTCTTTTTAGACGTATGTTTGTTTGTATTGACCTGACTAGTTGCATCGGTGACAGCTTATATTATCTTATCAATATTATTTTGTTGTCAACCGGATAATTTCGTTGCTATGTACTACAATGTTTTACGTGACATGTGTGAATTATAAGCTAAGAAAACAGATATTGGGCACTGTAATCTAAAAATCTGTTTGTTTTGTGATGATACAATTACAATTCCCGTTGACCAGATGAGCTTCTACGAAAACAGTATCGTGATAATTGGATGGTGTTAGCTGTTAATTTATTTTCAAACGAATCTATACTAATAATAAAACTGAAAACTTTGTTTGTTTGTTTGATTGAACTCTAAAATCTCTGGAACTACTGGAACAAACTCAATTATTGTTTTTGTGTTGAATAGTCCACTTAGGAAGGCCATCTTTCATTTATTTCATTTTCATTTACATGTCGAAATTTATTTATTCACTTGACATTGGCAGAATTGTGCGAAATGCGCAGATAAGCCATTAATTAAAAAAGAAGAAGAAGATGTCATCCTTTTCCAAATCCATTATTAATTAATTTAAGCTATTTTAGTTTTGAATAATTTTTATCGGTACAAATTTTGGAGCTAATATTAAATGCGTATATTATATTGGTTAAGTCACGAGAATTATACATTTAGCTGCCTCTCCTGAGCACTAGATGACGCTACCGTACTTTTAAAACGGGATTTTGAATTTAGTTATGTTTGTAGTCTTTATTTTTTCCGATTGATATCAAACAAAGTAGCTTTCGTTTCCCATTTTGCGGTTTTTCAAATAACATATATTTAATGGGGAAATGTTAATCTGGCGAAATAATAAAATGCTACAATCAGCTGTTTTCGCTAGATGACGCTACTGTGATTTTAAAACTGGTATGTTTGTTTGACTGAGAATTGTATTTAACAAAAAATATATCTGTAATTTTAACACAAGATTTCATAATTAATCACATTTGCCATTTATTAGAACCGATTATTATAAGAGGAACTCATATGTGAAGTCAATAAAGATATTTCATAGTTACATATCGGATGAACTAAAATTGCTGCCTCAAAAATATATAAATCACATTTGGCAACATGGTTAGTTGATAAAAGTTTTTATTCAGTAAATGAGTTTTTAAATAAAAGGTATTAATTGCAACACTTTAATTGAATGTCATATAACAGTTAATAACTAAGTACCTACAAACAGTTTAAGTTATTGCATGCTGTTTAATAGTAGAATTAGAGATATTTATATTGTTTTCTTTAATTTAGTAGTTGGTTAGAGTACTAAACGTTATGTAACAAACTTTTTTAATTAACTACTCGCAAACTAATACCGTTATTGTTAAAGTGCTGCATAACCCCTTGGCTGCGAAGTGATTCACAATCTTATTTTTTTTTTAGAGAGAGGCTAAAATTACCATTGGAAATGGTATGCAATGCAAAATTTTAGGGGTAATTTTATGTGTTTGTTCCATTGATAAAATTTTATAAATGTGTAAAATTATAAAGGGCGATAATAACCAATTACCACGCAGGTAAAGTCGAGGACGCAAAGGTAGTATGATATATTTGTCTATTCTGACATTCCACGAGCTATGTGATATCGTATTCAGCCAGATAAGCGCAGACACCAAAGAGAACCTTCTTCGAAACTCAAGTTATATTAAAAAGAAACACATATAGAGAATCTAGACGCAAAAGACTGCCTTATTGCTAGGGTAGCAATAAGGCAGTCTTTTGCGTCTATGTAACTAGTTACATGTGTTTTTATGACAATTTTTACTGTGTGCAATAAAGTATACATTCATTTATTCATTCAATTAAAAAAAAAATAACACAAAATCTCTTTAACGATTTTGAAATCAACTAATAAATATAGGTTATCAAACCTCTCCTAACCACAATTATTTAGACTTCCTATTGTAAACGTTAGAGAAATATAAAGTATACTATATCACTCTCGAACCCGAGCTTTATTATTTTTATTAATACGAAAGAATAAACAGACACACATTCCCATTTATCATATTAGTACGGCCGCCCGTACTAAAGCACTATATCAATATATTGCACTTGACTCCTTTTCATTATCTGTTCTTCGTGATATACATTGTTATCAAGGGAATCCATATCATATAATTTGGGTTAGAAATCAAGCTTCTTGATGCATTTGCTCTAGACCTTTGCACTAGATAATGGATTCCAATAGCATTCGAAATATTATGTCTTTATAAATTATGTAATATGTATCGAAAAATATAATATTAATAAATTCATTTTTTTTAATTTGTAAAAAAGGTTTTATTGTATATTATCTAGTGACAGAAATTTTGTATAGACAAGTTAAACGAGTCTAAACTCGACAGGGTTACGTTATTAATTACAGCGTTCCCATAGGCAACTTTCACTTCCATCATTAGATCCTGCATATTATCTCAGGTCATTGTCAACACAAATCAGAAGCCCAAACTCGATGGATACTTCGTTCGCATGAGTTACTTCCAGCTTTATCATCATAACAGCTCCATTCCATATTATTATTGCATTGTCATCCAAGTTATATGTTTGTGCACACTTTCTGATCAAACGGAAACCGGAAAGCGAGTCTTTAGTTGACAAGATTTGATCTACGCTAAATAACATGGCAATTTGTAAAAATTCAGATTATATACCCTGCTTCATACGTCATGACTTTGAATCATATTATAAACTAAATATCCTGGATATTTATTATATTTCTTCTCAAAATACAAAAGCTGACAAAGAGTCTATTCAACGAGGAGGTCGTTTACAAAGATGTCTTATGTAGCAAATTTAACAGAATAAGCATTTTTTTTTCTGTACCCAATTCCAATATGACACCCCTTTTTGCACTTATTTGTCAGCTGTAAGAAACTTATTCGTCCGTGTCACGTGATAAGCGAAATAAAGGAGCGACCAAAAGGTCACAGACTAAAAAAAAGTGTCAGGCACATCAAGCGGGCTGCAATTTATCATTCGCGCCCCGGGCGTGACTTCAAAGGCTCAAACGAGGTCCCTCAAACAACTGACTTTAATCTCAGTGTTTAGATAAGTTTTCAAAGAAGAGAATCCGCTAGAACATTCGTTCTGTATATTAATAGTGTTCATTTGGGAATTTCTTAAAAATAGTGCAGAGAGAATGTTCTTAATATAAAGTGGGTGTACATTAAAACCAAAACATGGACTCATTTGCAAAAAAGATTATATACTAGCTTTCCGCCAGCGGCTTCACTCGCGTGGTCCCTAAGGAACTATTTAGTGGTGTAAAAAGTATCCTATTATCTAAGTTAGCTAATACCCTATCTGTTTACTAAATTTCATCAAAATCCGTTCAGTAGTTTCGGCTGATGGATAAACATTCAAACAAAGAAACTTTTACATTTATAATATAAGTAGGATAAAAAAATACAAAGCCACCTCTAAAATGTACTACTTTATTAATTTCTTTTGTAAGGGATATTTGTAATCGACAGCAAGCACAGAGGACTGTAGATAATTTAATAATATAAATTTTAGCACAGAGAAAGATTTATTGATGACCAACGTACAAAAATAATAAGATACAAGAGAATACATTGACAAAGTCAAAAAGTAAAAAAATATAAATTAAAAATAAGTATAAAAACCTCCTTAAAGAGGCCAGTAATAATATATCAAAAACATGGTAAGGCTGTCGGCAACAATATTGTTTTATATTTTTCTACTAAATTTAAATCCGCGTAGTCATTAGCAATCTATAATTGTTATAGACCAGATAACTGTAACTAGACCCTGTATAACAATATACTTTTGGATAGCATTCAATTACATAATATGGAGTCATTTTAATAAACTTACGTACGCCAAATAATTAAAAACCAAAAATAACAACAGTCAGAGTAACAGTGTTATTTCGGTTACACAAACGTTACAGACGTTTACAAACATTACGACGTATTTATAAACGTCACAGACGACCACTATGAATCCAAGAGAAATGTGAGATAACTAAGCTCTGCATTGGTTTTTATAGAAGTTAGTATCACTTTCACTGACTGTATCATCCGCGTAGGTATGATATACCTACCTATCATTAACACGCATACCATTCACAAATATTGCAAATCCTTCTATGATGCACTAATATTACAGGCAAGTAGAATAATCAAGATTATTTACCTTAGCTGCACATTGCTTTATATATTTTGTAAACAAAAGTGTGCGTCAAAGTACATGCAACTTAATTTTCAACGCGGTACTATTTTGTAGACAAGTAATTACTATACGCTCAGGTTTTTTAAAAAGCAACTCATGTTATTTACCTGTAGTGTGTAATTTCGTCGCGATAGCACCAAAATAGATCCCTTTGATTAAATCTAACCCCAACACTGCCTGATGGGTCCGGACAAAGAAGTAATTTATATGCAGGCGTTACTTAAACGTGATTATCAAATTCAAAGGGGGCCTCCTTGTTTGATTCTATCTACCCTCGTTTGTGCAATAGAAAAAAAAATGTTTTGATGCCCGTCGAAGATTTATTGGGAATGACAGTTCTTTCGAAAAAGGAATTTATTTTCTCATAAGAAATTTGGACGTCTTTAGCCGAAACAGAACGATAGTAAGTGAAATGAAATTTCCGTTTATTGTTTCTGGAAGTAGGGATCGATTTGACGTGAATGGAGTTTGTCGTAACATTGTTTCTGAAAATTTGATTGTGATATAAATGTTTTGTTTTATGTTCCTAGGTTATCGTGAATTTTATTGTCATAAGTGACTTAATAATTGCTTGGTTACATTTTTTTATTGAACGTAACATTTATTACTAATACAGTGTATTAGTTTCATACATTAATATAAAGCTATTAAAAATATGTATAGTTTATTCGAAGTGGTCTCTATTGGCTGCAATACAGTACTTTAAGCGTTGTGGTCAATCATCAATAGACGCACGCTTTCCATGGGAAAATTCATAAATGCCAAAGGTGTGGATTATTTAAGGGACTTCAAATTATCAAAACGTTTAGAGCAAGTCTTACTTACTATTTAAAACTGACCATAAATCAGAATCTAGCGGATTTAAATCTGGACTAGATAACGGCCAGTTGAGCTCTGATGAAATCTGGAACGTTCGTTTCTAACCAACATTGGGTGGATCGAGATTTATGACTTCTTGGTCTTTGAACATGGTGTTGTTAGGGCGCTTAACATCATTTACGAGACTGATCCTGATCTTGTTACAGTTGTGCTGGTGTTTTGATGCCTTTTTCACAAAGATATGGCTCGGTCACTCCTTCAAAGCTAAATCCCCACCAAACTATCACTGAAGGCGGATAATGCCACGTTGCACTCTGTTGACTAATCGTGAAGCTTTTTTTGAGCTTTAAGCATAAATACAGTCATGTTTGTTAAAACATTGCTCAATTGTAAAAAAATATCATTCGCGAACATTTTTGTTTGTTTGTTTGGTTGAACTCTATAATCTCAGGAACTAATTATTGTTTTTTTTTTGTGTTGAATTGTCCATTTATCGAGGAAGGCTTTAGTCTATATATACACGCTATGGCTTATAGGATTGGAGCAGCAATGAAAAATGTTCCAAAAATGAGAGAATATTTTGCTTTTTAAAGCTTTCCTTGTCATTGTAATTATATTCCCAGTCATCCTTTTCCAAATCCATTCTTAAATGATTGAAGCTGTTTACGCCGAATTAAATAATGTTTTGAATAATTGAAATCGCTACAATCATTGTCGCTAATATTATAGATTAACGGGACCGTTCGTGCACGAGTCTGACTTGCGCTTGCCCGGTTTTTTTAATAATATATCTTAATGGAGAATTATTGATCGGACGACAAAATAATATATGGGTCACTATTAATGAGATACTTTAACACATAACCGAGGGGCATTAAATTATATTTGTGACAAACGTACTAAACTTCCGATAATTATGAACGACTTAAAATAAAAATAAATACTTGAAATGAGCTACTCATGGTAGGAAACAGTTTTATCTAAAATAGTAACAAAAATTTAAGGTATCAGAGGTAAAAAATAAATTGGGTAAAAAAATTTACATTCCAGAATTAAACGAAACTAAACGTTTGATACCTACAAATTGAAGAGATGAAGTATCAGTTGCCAAAATTGATTTGGCATCACTCACTAAAACTCTAAGATGATGAATTGAGAAAGCAAGAACAAGCTGACTGTCAAGTTACTATGAGGAGCAGGCGTACAATCTTGCAAAAGTAAAGCATCAGACTGTTTTAAACCCAAGCAAAATGATAGCGTAATTATTGAACGATTTCAATAAAAGAACTATTCTTTCAAAGAAAATATTTGTTTTGTATTTTTGCCAGGTGTGTCGATTCTACTGCTTAAAGTAGAAAAAGAGCAACTGGATTGGATTATTTTATGAAGACATGCGCGATATCCACAGTAACACCAGTAGATTTTCTTATTTGTTTCCATCTATTGGGTAGGCCTATGCCCCAGGAGTGAGGATGCTGATAAGCTGATGGTGATGATATAAATGTGGAGGCTCACTGGCAAATTTTTAATAAAGATTATTTTAAGGCTCCAGTACAGCAGGCCAGTGTGCATACAGAACTCTCGGACTACGTGGTCGAATCTGCGGGTTACAGTTAGTAAACTATATTTATGTATATTTCAGTGGCTTTATTATGTAATCAATAAATGAAAAAGCGATAGATAAAATCACGGTTTGTCATCACAAGAAACAAATGGCTATGGTTTCATCATTATAATATCAACATATATTGGCAGCATGTTACCTCACAATTTGAAACGCAAACATAAAAACAGATGCGGCATTCATCAGTTGGCCATTAAGAGGAACTAAACTAATCTATTTTCTGGTGTTTTGAACCAAAGTCCTAAAAAACTTAAAATGAGAAAACTATATCATTTTCATAAGGATTATGTTCGAATCAAAACCTAAAATTCTCATTTTGAGACATTCTTACTACGCTCTTCTTAATGAGGAAAAATAATGAAAACATGAGTCGTTTTTGCAGCTAAGCGCTAAATGTAACAAATTTTAAAATAATCGTAATGGATTGCAAGTTGTAGACCGGGTCTTTTTGCTCAGATGTATCTGTAGTCTTTAACACGTATCTATCAATACTGAATTGTAACGCCACGTGCACGTGCGCCCAATGATGATGATTGGGGTGTGATGGACATCCATAGGATGCCAATGCCCTAGCAGCGGAAACATTAATATGATGACATCGATGACGTAACGAATCATAATACGTACTTTCTTCTTGAGCAGCGTCGATGTGAACTTTCATTTGATTTATCAAAATTTTCCCCAACACCGGTTAATTGTAATTGTTTTGTTGACGTTAATATGTCTCTTTAATTAACTATTATCACAATGTCAAATATGAAAATAGAAGAATCAATTTCACCTAAATATCTAATTATTTAAATAGCATAGTATAACATTAATGCTTAACTTTCCATAATGATTCTCAAGAACGTAATGCTGTAACTAGCTTTTTGCTATAATAAAAATTAGCCTATACGAGTATGTCAGGCTCATAATTTTTGCGTGAAAGAGAATCAAACATTCTCCATCCTCATAAACATTCGCATTTATAATGCAAGGAAGATGTTATGGGTTTCTCGTGAAATTTCTATTTTAAAAGCTGTTTTTCTTTCATCCAATTTATATCAAGCGACTTTAACGATAAATAAAAAAAAAATATATAAATTCAAAACTTGGCTACACCTTAATCGCTTCGATCGATGATCAAGTGTATTTAAGCATAATCGCAAGCATATTTGTTTATTAAACCCTTTCATTTATTACCCTACACGGAATGATTGAATAATATATATTTTTTAGTTAGAGTTACAGTTTATGCTCTCTAGAGGGTGCCTAAGATGTTTCTTATGATACCTCATTATTCCAATTACGATAACGATGAGTAGTTTTGAAGTTATAAGGGAACGGATGAACATTCTTACATGCATACCGGCCAAAATCATAACCCTCCTTTTCGCTTCGCCGTAGTCGGGTGATCAGAGAACCGAATTAAATGAATGCATTATCGACAGGCAAAGGCCCGGGATATGCGTCTCCTTTGGAGGCGTTCACCAAAGGCCCGAGAGAGGAACTTTTGTACGTGATCTGTGTGCAGCCAGACGCTACAAAACAAGACTACTTGGCTACAGTAGACGTGGATCCGAAGTCACCTACTTACTGTCAAGTAAGTTACAATATCTATTTTTTATTTTGCTGAATAATTTTAAATTTTTGCAGGATCCAACAACACATTATTATTATCAATTTACTGACCAATTTCATTCTGTATAAATAAATGAAATGCTGAAAATAGATATAATTTAATAAAGTAAATGTAACAAATTGGCGACGTGATGTCGGTAAATATAAAAAAAAGCTAAAGAAAGTACGCGCTACTTTTGGAGGATGACTAACAAGAAGTCAAAATTATGTACGTCAATTGGAAAATATACCTAGTGAAGAAATCGATTCTAGATTAAATTGTTTTACTAAAAAATCTTCTTTTTTTTTCCTTTCTATTACAAAAGATATAAAATTTGCAAAAAACTATAGAATTAGAAATAGAAGACACTAATTTAGACGAGGAAATACAATACAGATTCGAGTTTGAATAGACTTACATGAAATAAGAACAAAATATTTGACATTACGTAATTGAAATGAAATTCAAACTGCTATACCGAGGAGGTATACTTCACACACCATACAGGCAAATCTTCTGAACTAAATTTTCAACCAAGAAAAAAACATTCCAAAATTTTAAAAAGCGACTAAATGTATTCTTTCTTATGAATGGAATCACCAATACGAATATGAAAGTGTTCACACTTCTATCTACATTAGCGCCAGAATTACATGAAAAGTTTTGTGAATTATGCTCGCCAGAGGAGCCTATAAATAAAGTTTACGAAACTCTGACAAAACTACTACACAAATTTATAGACCCAAAATCTAGCACGTGGTCATTACAACATAAATTTATTTCGAGATTACAATGAGAGGAAGAAACAATACCGATGTATGCAGGTGAACTGAAGAAGTTTACAAGTTTACGACGTAATGTGAATACCAATGAAATAAAAATTAAACTGTTACAGAATAGACAAACATATGTATTCAGTAAACTTGTACAAATTGCATCTTCTTTGGAAATGAGTAAAATAGAAAGTTACACAATGAATACAGAAACAAGAAAGAATAGTACTATAACCATGAACAAAGCATCAACTTCACAACAGATACGAACATAAAAAATCTTCCAAAAAAAGATTTGACCCTACAAGACTTGAAAGGATCTTGCTTTCATATATGGTAAAGAAGATCATAAGGCAAACGAATGTGGTGCAACACATAACTAATACACTTAGATACACTTACAGACACTTAGATATAGAATATACAACAATAGTAACGAATCAATCACCGAAGGGGACATTCGTGGTGGCATCAACACGATCCATGAAGAACTTTCTGCAAAGTATATAATTAGTTTATGCATAGAAAATAAGGAAGTACAAATAGAATTGGATACGGGTGCGACACTATCTTCAATTTCACCGAAACAATACAAAACCTTAAATAGTAAAAAGAAAATGTTCAAGACCGACATAAAGATGAAAACATACACATACAATTCGACCATCAGGAGTAGCATTTGTCAAATGCACTTACAATACGCAAATATTTATGGGAAACTTTATATCATAAACAAAGACGTTGACGCTATTTTTGGAAGAAGCCGGATGAAGGAAATAACAGTTGATCTAGCAGATATAAGAATACTTAATTAAATAGAACTACATAATGAACTACAATAGATAAATTAATTACAAAATATTCATCTACAGTTTTTAGCGGAAAATTAGGAAAATATCCGAATTTAAAAGCCCATCTTAACCTCAAAGAAAATTACCAACCGATTTTTATAAAACAAAGAAGGATTCCTTATGCCTTAAAGGAAAAGGTTGACAAAGAAATAGAAAGCCCAAACGGAGGACAATTATTATGTATGCTTGACTTATGCCAAGCTTATCTTAATATGGTAATGGAAGATGAAAGCGCTTTACTTCAAACATTTAGCACACACAAGGGTACATACAGAGTGAATAAATTGATGTTGATGGAGTGAAGGTAGCACCAAGTATATGGTAGAAATTCATGGATATATCGATAGTAAATAACTTTAACTCCAATCACTAGTGTGATATGTCAAATTAAAATGGCTTTTATACGTTTATTGCGCACTATAGATGTCTGTTATGGTTGAGCGTGATTGGTTATAGTTATACTGGAGCGTTTTGATTGGCATGTTTAAAATGCGAGTGTGTGTATATCTTTTGTATAATTGGTCTGATATGTCGTCTGATGTACGGCGGACTAAAAGTGGGGCAAGACTGGCGACATCGGTTTTCGTACAAAGGATGCATGATCGCCTTTCTAACCTCTTTTCCGTGTTCTGTGTTTACCACCAATGGCTTAAAATGAAAAGTCTTTGAATCGTTCCATATTTTTGCCTACCTTTTTGGCTGACATGAAAAACAAGCGAAAGAAACTTACTAGCTTTTTGTCAAAATAAACGACATGTAATGAAGATTACCAAAATAATATGTATTACAATAATAATAAAAAAGTTTGTATTAAAATAATAGTAAAAACTATTTTATCAGTGTCTTGAGGACATAGCACAAGTATACTTAATTAGTCAGTGTAGAACAAAGCTAAGGCTATTAATTTTAAGCTTGCTCAGACAGATGTGATTACAGTACCTATTTAAAATAGTGCTAAGTAATTAGTCTCTTTTCTCACTTAAATGGCAATGTTAAACTCAAATTAACGTCTATGATTACAATGGCATGACAACCAACTAAGTTTTCATTGTTAAAAAAAATAAACGTCATATCTTATATATTTTTATAGTATGCTGATTAAAACTCTAATTTTAAATTGAAATTGGGCTCTAGGAACTATCAGGATTATGACAAAAATATTCAAAATACCTACTTTACTGAATTTAGTGTTATAGTTAAAACAATTTTGGATATTTCAAACATTTTTAATAAAGAATATTTTTCTGTATAGTATTGTGGATGCAAAATTCATCATCAAATCTAATCATTAGAACAAAGTTTAAATGTTTGTACAAATATTTCTTTCGGCTGTTTGGGTGAATTATCTGAACATTGTAATACGCTCTGTAGTAGCGAAAAAGTTACAATTGCTTGAAAGATTCGTCAGCCCTGTTAGGTCCTGGGTAGCTCAGTGATTACTGCAGTCGCTCGGATTGCGAAAGGTCATTAAGAATATCTTTCAGTATACTATTGGAATGCAAAATTGATCAAATATAAAAATTTGCATTTTATTTTATTTAGGTTATCCAATATAATTTTTCTTCGTTACTTGTCAAGGCTCAACAGATTCATTTGTTTGTAAGCTTATGAGTATAAGATTGTCAACAAAAGTTAAGCGGTTAGCAAAATCATATTGCACCTCAAGGATTTTTTTCTTGGCAAAGGGACGCAAGCAATTTGCGCTATATCTGTATTAGTGTATAAAAATCCCGGGACAGCGTTTAGCCGACTAAGGCAATAACGTCCCAGTAATCCTGCCGGATCACAGGATTCAACTGCGAAGTATTATTGTGTACTTTGCTATTGCAATACGAACCGGGAAAATAAATTAACATCCGGAATGCAATATATTCCGAGGAAGATTTGTCGTGTGAAGACTCTTCCTAGTCCCAGAAGAATAGTTAGTCTTATCTACTTTCTTTCCTTATGTACTTTATGAAAAAGAAATCTTTTTATTTAGTTGACTCCTGGGTAATATAGTAACTTATTTCGAAAATACAAAATTCAAATATTTTTTGGGTTTTAAATATTTTTTATGTACCCAAAGGGAACCCCATTACTAAGACTGCACTGTCTGTCTGTTTGTCTATCCGTCTGTTGTTTACAGAATATGTATTTATGTTGCCGCTTCAACAACAAATACTAAAAACCGATATAAAATAAATATTTCAAGGGACGAAACCCTTTGTGCACGAGTCCGACACGCACTTGGCTGGTTTTTTTATTCATCCCCATACATTTTGGCTGTCATGTATTATTGTTATCTAAACTTAACATGTATAAAAAATCAGCTTATTCTATTGTGGACATATCTTGCTAAATTTTTTGTGCATTTGCTATAAAATTTCGTAGCAATATTTACCTTTATTAATTTTTATCTTTAGCACAAAGCTTCGAGGCCAAAAGGCACTATCAATACAAACTTAAACCATGCGCGCAACCTTTAATGGATTCTTTTTTTATTGTTGATCTTTCCAAAATTTATTAAGACGTTAATATATATATTTACTGATTAATAAACACATTGACGATGTTTTGGATTTCTTTATCGACTATTACTGAATAGCTCGTAGGGAAAAGTTACCATTCGAAATATATGTTTAATGTTACCAATTAGTGATACCGGTAAATTGAATTGTAACTTTACCATCAGGTCATCCACCGTACCTACACCGGAAACGTTGCTGATGAGTTACATCACTTCGGATGGAACGTTTGCTCCAGCTGCCATGACAATGCAAACTTGAAGAGGGACCTACTTATCGTACCCGCTTTGAAATCTTGTAACGTGTACGCTGTTGATGTCGGCAAGAACCCTAGGAAGCCTGAAATACACAAGGTTCGATATAATATTTTTGCTTACAGTTATAGTACCTCTAAAATAGCTTCTGAATTTACTATCAATCATATACGTTCGCCAATTAGGTTGGTATGATATTTTTCTAGCACTTCACGTTTCTGTGGTTATCTTTTGATTGTGCACTCGAAAATTAATTAATCAAAATTATTAAAGATTGTAAAATAATTTATTATGTTTTTTTTTTATTCTGTAGCTTATTGTGTTACTAAAACGCAGACATAAGTGCTGCGTTAGTAAATTTGAATTTTCTATTGATGTTTTTGTTTGTGAACGTTTCCCATTTATTGAGAGACATAGCCATCTTATATTATGTTATGTTAAATAAAGTACGTAACTAGCTTTCTTACTTTATAATTTTACTTGCATATAGTACCTAATAAATCGCTTGTCACCGAACTGTGGTATGCATAGTTCGCAGTTGTTTGCCCTAGACGCTCGTAAACCCGAGATTTATGCCAAGTGATCGGCGAACTTTTTTAATTCCCCGCCTTTATTATTCAGATTTCCCCGACGACAACAACTTTTTTATTAAGGGAAACGTGATTTGTTTCTATTTTAGCAAATGGAAAAAAATTATTTCTTTCATATTTTTCAATCACAATTGTTAACATTATACATAATTTTTCAAAAGTTATGCACATAATAATAAATGAATTTGGGTTATGGATGCACACGATAACGATTTACCGTAGCAAATTGATTGTGCAGTCAATTTGTACAGTTCTATCGAACGTAGAAAAATTAGAACAGATTTTTTGATCGGTGCAAGCAATCGTAAGCACTAAGCACGCTCGAAAATCTCTATTAATGGACTGAGCTCTAATAGCTACGATAAATCGTTGTAGTATAGTCCGGTCATAAGCTGAGGTTGACGACTAACCGCAAGTGATCCTTTTACCGGCACGGGTTCCGAGGGCTGGACTCAGGAAAGGGTGCGTCGACGCGACGTTAGTCAGCGAAGTTACACATTTCAGTGCCACGGGTTACAAATCTACTTGCATCTCCCACAAAATAGAGTCCTTATTCTTGGTGAAGTAAACAATTCATGCACACCAATTAAACGCTAGTTAGCTTGCCAGAACCTGTAGTAGCGCAGTAAAACCGTTGCCCTCACTCAAGAAATAAGAGTGGGGAATGAAAGTTGGAATGAAAGACATGTACTCGCCTTATCCATAAACAATATGCAATTTACCGTTCCAATACCTTATAAAAATATGTAATCATTTTAAATATCAAAATTATCATGATCTTTTAGTAAGGTACTCAATGTAGTGTCTTTGGTTTAAATATCAACAAAGGATTTTATATTTCTCATCGTTTATGTATATTTTGTCTTAAAACTATTTTAAGACATATTACAAATATAACTAGAATTAAAACATATTTTCTCAATTTGATCTCGCGACTATTACATTAGTTTATAGCCAGCAAAAAGTTTTGGGATTCCTAGCTATAAGCCTAGTAAGACTACTTTCATCGTATAGATCCCACCATAATCATTTGTGGAATAGTACAAGTTCTAACTTTGGACTTCGCAGTCATTTCGATTCTGTCGTCAAACTTGAAGGCGTTCGGTTCGGAGACAGTTTACCAACTCGTTATTGGCTGTTAGTTTCTCGTCTGACTTTCGCATGTCGTTTTATACTAAAGTCAGAGAGTTTCTTACAAGAGCGTTATAGAATATTAGTTATTTGATATTAAAATAAAGTACTAAATTAAAACATATATTTAATTAAAATTGCACGCAAAAAACAAGATATTATTCATCTAATAATGAATTCAAAATGTAGTTTTTATTCATTACTTTTATATGGCAAGTACATTTTTCGGTACAACAAACTACTTACGTAAAACTATAAAAAACATTTTTGATCTGAAAATATCGCGCTAAACTAAATAAATAATAATGTGTTCCCAGAATTTCTACAATATCAAACTCTATAAAGGCACCAATCTTATCGCAAAATATTTTCTCCACAAAATCACGTCTTTACAAAGTACCCTTACCATATACTGATGAGATCGCAAATCTTATTATCAGGTTATAAGCGGGGAGGAGATGAGGTCATTTGACTGCACTTTCCCACACACAACACACTGTTTGGCAACAGGGGAAATCATGATCTCAACTATGGGAGATAAGAATGAGAACGGCAAAGGCGATTTTGTGCTCATCGACTCAAAAACGTTGAAAGTGACAGGTGAATAAAAATCTCTTTACTTTTATAAAGATTACGGAAGGTATGCACGGCTATTGCGAGATCAACGGTTCTTAATTCTTTAAAATAGAGTTTAATTTTGCCAAATTTAGTTGAAAATATAAAAATGTTGCTTATTTTATAGGTACTTGGACTAAAGGGGAAAAACGAGCGAAATTCGGATACGATTTTTGGTATCAACCTTATTACGACGTCATGATTTCTTCGGAATGGGGAACTCCAAAATATTTTAAGACGTAAGTTAATTAAATCATAGTATGTGGCATATATACTTAATTCTATTCAGGTTTAATCTGATACATAAAATTACTTTGATATAACGAGATCGGGATTTTATAAAATTTATTAGAGAAACGCGTGAACTTTATGTTCAATCGTTTTAAGTAAGTCGTAACGCTTTTTAGAGTCAAGCTTTAATGTTATAATAACTTAAAGTCCTTGCTGCGTTTTCGAGCAATTATTCCAATTACTTACTTATTTCAATGCAAAAAAACACACCAACGTTTTACTTACCTTTTGAAAGATACTTTCAACTTATTTCTAGGTAATATTTTAACTAATATATACCAATCTTATAGATTTTTTTAAAAAACTTCCATCATCTTACAAGTCCTTAGTACGATTTGATCCAAGGAATATTCGCCGGCGAATGGTTACGATTTTTCAAAGTATTTTTCTGTATTACATAAATAAATAGATTTCCGAATCGTGATCAATATGTTTTTTGACAGCGGGTTCCACCCCGATGATGCGGCAAACCCAGAGCGATACGGCACGTCGCTTAACGTCTACAAATGGTCTACGCATGAATTGCAACAAGTCATAGATTTGGGTAAAGAAGGCACCGCACCGCTAGAGATCCGATTCCTGCACGATCCCAAAGCCGCTCAAGGATTTGTCGGGTGCGCTCTGGAGGCTAACGTTTACAGGTTCGAGATTTGTACGGATTTAACTTGCGTATTTTCGCATTTTGAGGAAGATAAGGGTTTCTGTGTTTCTTTTTAAGAACCAAAGTGAGAATCGTGATTGGATTTACAAATTTTTGTTGACTATTGTTTTTCGCTTAATGTGTGAGTTGGTTACTTGTTTATCCATACTGAATATTATAAATAGAAAGTTTTATTTATTACGTTGTCCATAATTCATGTCACAGTGGAACGTCGCTACTATAATGTAGTTTTATTTATATGAAAACGAATGGCAATAAATGTAGGACACATTTTGATACGTATACAGCTTCTCGATATTTTTTCCCACGAGTAAAGCCATTGGTCACATCTAGTAATATTGTGTACCTATTCTTAAAATTGTTATTAAAATTAAATTAAATTTGATAACATCATTTTTCAGTTTCGGAATCTACTTATATGTAAAATGATATTAAAAATGCTCATAAATATTTACGCTTGTTTAGGTTCTACAGAACGGCTGAAGGAACATGGAAAACCCATAAAATTATCGACGTACCAGCAAAAAAAGTTTCTAAAGACGGCGTCGAATCCAAGCTTAACGGTAAATATGCTTCCGACTTTGCCCTATGTATTTTCAAATTTCGTTCGCTCTTTCAGAATTTAGATTTAGCTTTTAGATTTTATTGTTATTATATTTTAATACTTTCAAACTTTTTTCTCTAAACCACAACATAAATTTTACTCCAATATAAAATCGCTGTATTTTCTGCTACAAAATGTAAACGCGATTTGAACAAGACAGACTAAACTGCAATATTTATTCCAGTTGCTTAGCATTGTAACAATATTCGAGAAGCTGGCTCGTACGTGATATGCATTTCACAAAAGCTTCTAGATTCCCATACTCGTTTCTTGTTCGATGTTTTGCTTTTATTCTCGGTAACGTGACAGTTCTATTAACTTTTTGCTGTAGGTCTAATGTCCGACATTCTTTTGTCTCTGGATGATAAGTACTTATACTTATCGTGTTGGCTCCACGGCGACGTGAGACAATACGATATATCGGATCCTGAAAATCCTAAGCTGACTGGGCAGATCTTCCTAGGCGGGCAACTCCTCAACGGATACAAACTCGTAGAAGACAAGGAGCTAAAGGCAAGAAATTCCAATTTTCCAATCCACTAATGCCTTAAATTAATGCGTCATGACTTAACACAATTACGCTTTCGCCAAATCATTCTTTTCATTTCAGTTCATGCCTTCTGCTGGGCTAAATTACTTTCTAATGTCTTTACCATTTGTTAAGTGTTTCCGACTTTATTGAATCTGTTTTGCTGGACGCTCTTATATTTTCAATGTCATTGTTATCATTGTTTTGCTTTATTATTTCATAAGGAAAAATAATAATATTTCTTATCTTTTCTTAATTATTGAACTACTTTTGTTTTGAAGATAAAGTTTGTTACCGTTTCATTATACTGTTTTCTTTTTGGGATGATGTAATCGCATAACTCACCAAGAATTTTCATCACACCGATTTATTTACTTTTTATTTTCATTATCTATTTATTCGTTATTTATGTCCATCGAAGTCGATTGTCAAAAAAGATTACCTATTAAATAGGAATAAGAAGATAGGTATAAGAATTTTAAAAACTTCTCTATTTTAATTATAATTTACGATTCTGTTTTAATTGATGTCATTATCAACAAAAAATATCAACAAATGGTATTTGGTGTGAGATTCAGTAGTGCTAGAGTCAACGATATTATTACGCAATAAACAATATTGGTTATGAAACTATATAGTGTTGTTGAGTCCATCGATAAATGATCCACGTCACGTGATTCCTTTTTGCAAACAATGTGTTGTAAAACATTACTTGACCTACAATGTTAAGAAACCCAAAATACATTTTCGGAAGTAGCGTTTTTAATGATGCAATTTTAAAATTGTGCTGAGGTTAAGTTTAGAGAGTGAAAATTCGTATAACGTATGTTATTTTTTTATACAGGAATCTCCTAAACCAGTGACAGTAAAGGGCAAGCGATTACACGGAGCGCCCCAGATGTTACAGCTGTCTTTAGATGGGAAACGCTTATATGTGTCAACATCACTGTTTTCACCGTGGGATAAGCAATTCTACCCGAACATGATTGAACAGGTAAATTTTCTCTATTGTTGGGTTAATATAACTCATCTAGCAGGACAGATCTACCTAACATTATAAATAAAAACGAATGTTTTATGACTTTTGATACCTTTTGTGTAACATACTAATATAAATTTAATTTAGCAATCGAATGTTAAAACTACGCACATCATGTGCGTACGTAGTGGAGCAATTATAATTATGAAACTTTTATATGCATTGGAGTATTTTTTTATGTTTAGTAACTTAGCGATGTTACAAAAATTTTTAATTATATAAATATAATGTAATGGAGATGACTAAGTATCTAAATGTATGTTTTTGCTTAGTGTGCCTTTGCAGTATTACATGTCGTAACTTTGATAATTATAAAATATATATTTCATTTGTATTTTAACCTAGTTGTCACCTGTTTTGTACATCTTAATATATAAATAATAGTCACAACACGAAGTACAATAATAAACTTTAAAAAAATGTTTTCAAATTGATCGTTGACAATAAAACTTTATATGATATTAGCTGTCGAGCCCTGCAAGACTGCTGGTTTGACAAATCATCATCAGCCCATTTACGTCCCCACTGAAGGGGCTCAGGCCTTTCTTATGGATGATTAAAGAGGAAGGCACATGACCTCCACGCTGGCCCAATGCGGATTGATGGGTATTAACGACTGCAAATGCAGCCGGGACCAACGGCTTAACATGCCTTCTGAAGCACGGAGTAGCTCGAAATAATAATTTTTGGTGACCCATCCCGTGACCGACCCTTGCGAAAGTTGCTTAACGACAACGATCGCGAGTCGCGGCGCTTATCTACTACACCACCGAGCTACTCGGTTTGACACACAGCCCTTTATAATACGAAATATATATATTAAGAATAATAAAAAAACAAGAAATTCAATTATTTCGCTCTGGAAATAATATTGTGATATTGGAGTGAAATGCTTCTAGTTCTTGTTTTGGCTTGCTAGAATTTGACGTCACATCCTAGTACATGTGTATTTATTTCTAATAGGGATATCAAATGTTCATATGTTAATGGCACTATTTTTCTTTATTCTGCACGCTTTTCTATTTTTTATGGATCCTTTCACGGAAGAATTAGTTTAAATTTTGATTGACTTCTTAGGTCAGAATACGCAATTATTTTAAGTAAAGTTATTCAGAAAACGTTATTAAATTCAAACTTATAAAAAATAGCAATCTTTTATTCAAATTGTTGAAAATCTATTCTGCAGTTGAACTATTTAAAATTAAACTACAGTGGCATGAATAACAACCAAGAATGGTTAGGCGAAGCTACGCGACAGGCACGAAGTGTTATATTAGGGTCTTGCACTCGCAATAAACAGTCGTTATCTCATATATGAAAACCTTCGGCCCTTTTTTATTTATACATTCTCCTTTGTAAGCCGAAGTTATTTCTCTTACTTACATTATGCAAGACCTGTGTCACCTGAGACATGAATAATTTATAAAGATACCGCGGTATTTCTTGTACAAATAACTGTGAAGGCTCCATTTAAAACACGGCTTATTTTACTCTTAGCTGTTTGTAATTTTATATGTTAATGTGATAACTTAATTATATAACGAAGAATAACATTTCCACATTTTGTGTAGGAAAGATCATGTAATTATATAAATGATGTTCTACTTGTTAAAAATATTATTTAACTAATTAATTAACAGTCAAGTGCTTGTTTTTAAGTAACGTCTTATATTATTTTACAAAATGATAGACTTGGATATACAATTTGTAGTTTACCACGTTTTTCCTTAGAAATAGGAATTATTTTTTATCACCGCACAAATATTAATAAAGTTTTAATATAATATTATCGATATCGCAACTATAGATATTTCGACAACACTACTCTAGAATAACAGATATCCATAAACTACTCGTCTGGTGTATCCGAACCCTCGTGGGATACATTTATAAATATTTGAATTTAAATCCTGATTTATTGTTTTTTAGGGCGGATGGATAGTGAAGTTAGACGTAGACATTGTTAATGGTGGTTTCAAGTTAGATCCGGACTTTTTGGTGGATTTCGGCGCCGAACCAGATGGTCCAGTATTGCCACATGAAATGAGGTAAATGTCAATTTAAGAAAAATAGTATTATTTTTTTAAATATAATTCAATGACTTTAAGACGAATGTAATATACGCGTATTTTATGACAGTAATAGTGACTTTAAAAATTTTAACTGGTTATTATAATTCCCATAATACTTCTTTTCGATGTTTGGATTTCTAAAACGTATATTATGACCTCGTAGATATTTTATAGAAAATCAACGACGATTAGTAGGTTATTAGGCCGACGTATTGTCGTAAATACCGCCCTGCAAAGAGGATCACATTATTAGAGAATGAAATGTGAGAGTGCAATTTGAGTTGATATAGAAACCATTCTAATTTTAGATAATTCTCAAGGTCACATTTTTCACGATATTAGTTATTGAGGTCGTGGACCAATCGTTGAATTGGGCCCACCGTGATTTCTCGATTTGGTCAGAAAAATCACGATCGGCTCGGTTAAAAGTTTGGCAGATCGACGAGAGCAACGTATTTGTCGATTGTCCCAACTAATCACTTGGGCATATCTTTTTATGGCTGGGCGCATCGTACTATAGTTCCATTTTATGTCACGGGTGTCGTTGTAGCTCTATTCGCTGTATATTTTCTGAGCTGTCAAGATATTATAATTAAGAAATACGTCTATATACTTCAGATTGTAATTTGATTGTATTTAAATTGAAGGTAATTTTGAAACGCTGAGCACTTTTATGTGAACTTAATGAGATTAATTATGGCAGCCTTTTTTATTTACCAGTCAAATAAGTATTAGTTAAACTTAATTTTATTTGCTTAAATACAGAGTTGGGCGGTAGGAAAAGGCTCGGTTTGTTGCTCACCTCTTACTTAGAACTTTGGTCACCCTACAAAATCGATTGGCCAGAATAGTGAAGAAAATCATCAAACGTTAATTATTTAACGATATGGCGGATGATAGATAGCGAAATCAAGAAATCAGGGGCAGATCTCGATTGGCCCAATTCAACGATTGGCCCACCACATCGATACACTATTGTTGTCACAACAATACGAGTGGCTAACGTAATAAGAAATTTTGTGATTCAATATTTACTCTATATACAAAATTGAACTTTAATTTCAATTATATTACTCTTTTCTCGTTAAAAATTGATTTTAAAGTTGATAGAACAGTCACCAGCAAACAAATGTACAAATAAAGCATTCTTTTCACGTTTATTTTACATTCCAGATACCCTGGAGGAGATTGCACGTCAGATATTTGGCTAGCCAAAGATTAAGAATAAATATGAGCAGTTTCTTTTATGTCAGCAAAATATACCTATTTTTATGTCAAATTGAATTAAAATGTAGTTACTTCAATATTGTACAACATAATGTAATAAAAATATGTGAATTGGAATTTTTGTACAAAGCAATATATCTGAATATACGTAAAATATAACAATATGTAATTTATACTGGGCTTTTAATTTATTCATACCTTATGGTGCCGTTTACTCTTATTTTTGATGTCTCAGTTTATTAAAAAGTAACTCTGACTGAATTTAATTGAAACAGACGGCAGTTCTAAATATTAATGATCTTAGAATGGGTATTCTCACTTAACAAAGTTACCATTCTATATAATGAATTCACGGAATTCTAACGTGGAAATAAAAAAAAAACAGTTGAATGTATATAGGACTACGTACGTTGTGAAATTATATCACTTATATCATTACGTATTCTGTTGTTAACTGTTCTTTGTATTGTACAGGTTTGTGATGTAGTTGTGTGTTGTTGTCTGAATAAACTATTTATCTATCTATCTTATCTATCATGTCATCATTAGCCTCAGGCCTTCCACCACTGCTGGAGCTCAGGCCTTCCCTATTTATGGATTCGTATCAAATGGAATAAGAGTGAGTGGTGGGTGGTAACGACCGCAGATGCAGCCGAGGCTAACGGCTTGACCTGCCTTCCGAAGCACGGGAGAACTCGAGATAAAAAATTTTTCTATGACCGGCCTTAATGAAAGTTACTCGAAAACGGTCGAAGACCGGGTGTGCTAACCACTGCACGAGCTCCTCATCCTCCTAGAAATTACGGAGTTAATATGTAATAGTAGACAAACAAGGGGATAAAATGCCCTACTATATCCTAAATAGTTTTGTTGAGATAATTTATATCTAACTTTGATTGAGAATAAATAATAAAATTCACTATAGTATTAAATTTATCAATAGACTCTGCGTAACAACTTATTTTAATAAATAATTTTCCGTAGACTCGTTGGTCACTGACACAAGTAATTTAAATATAAATATGGTAGATATCCTTTTAGTAATTTATAAATATTTTTGCGTTCGACTTTTCGTTCTATAAATTTCCTTTTCTGTTCATCTTTGGAATTTGCTTAGAAGTGGGAGCTAATTTCAAAGATGAACAGTAAAGGAAGAATCATAGAGGGTTGTGTGAGATGCCATTTCAAGAATCAGATATCCTGGTGGTCATAATGTTTAAGAAGTTGAGTAAATTAAAAAGTCATAAGCAGAGAAAATACTTGCTAGTGCGAGTACTAATCCCCCATCGAGGGTTCCTAACAAAGTCGTGGATTAGAAATAGTTCTGGAATCAAATAAAATTTGTTTTGAAATATCCACATTAATCCCTTTTCATATGATACTCCACTTGGACTAGTATACTCACATATATAGACGAGAGAGGTTGAGAATATGTCATAATTTAAGCAAATATTTTCATCAAATTAACAAGAATTCGAATGAAGTAAGAATTTTTAATAGTTAAAATACTATTAATATTAGCTATTAACAATTTTTTGTTGATTATTGTATTTTATCAATTTTCAATTGAGTGAATTGAGGGTCTCAACAGACTGACGGATAACAAAGCAATCCTATAAGGGTTTCGTATTTTCACTTTTGAAGTACGGACCCTTAAATTTTTATATTCCAGAAAACTAAAACTGCTCATGTTATCTACTAATAACATATTTGAATAAAAAAAAAGTAATGGTCATGTTCAATAAACAGGATGATTAGAGTAATTCATCTCCCGTACTGTGAGTGACGAAACATTAATTTAGTTTACCCGTGCGAAGCCGACGCGGATCACTAGTCTATGTTATAAAAAATAACAACCTTTCGAAACATATAAGGCATTGTAAACGTGCGAGCTTTACGCACTGTCAAAATATAAAGCTTTCGGTCTGAAAAAAAATGGTCCATCATTAAAAATTAATATCACAAAATGCGAGACGTGAGTTCATAATTTACGAGGGAAAAATTCATGAACACATACCGACATTAAACGATGTGTAAACGTTAGCACAAAAGGGACGATGCGGTTAAGTCACGGTTAAGTACAAACACTGTACTAACTAACGAACGAGCTATTATGATTTCGGGTACCTACCTAAAATTGAGGCACCTATTTTAACCTACTGTAATAGGACATGACTACTATATTATTAAAGCTATAGTTCCGCTAAAGTACTGCAAATATACTACTATAGGTGTTCCATTTTTTTATTTGCAACCTTTACATATTTAAGGATTAGGTAACTAATTATTTTTAATAAAATAGTCATAGCTATTAAATCTTAGACGTAATAAATGTTTTCGAGAAATAACATCAACTATTTCGGTTAAAACCTCACTAAGCTTTATATTTTTATCCTAATAATAAAAATCGGTGACATAAAATTAATTTCAGAAAAATAACTGTTTAGTTTTGTGTCTGGTACCTACGTAAATCTGGTTCATATCGCGACATTTTCATATTCAGTGCTTATTACTCGTGACACCTTTTATTTTATAATGTAGAGGAAATGCACCTTAAGCCTTAAATCTATTGATACCCACGAGACTTATGTCTAGAGTGTAAAACTATTAATATGACAGTTTTTATTTTTCTTTAACTTGTTTTTTTTTGTAACTCGTGTTAGTTTTTAACTCACACATGTTACTACAAACTGACAAAATTTATCGGTAGTATCGTGAGAGAGAGGTTTACATAAAGGATCCAATTGCGCTCCAGAGGCCGCAGACGAGATAAAACTGGTTATTTATTTTATAGGAAGACAGTAAAAGAGATGTGTCGTGCTCAAGTTTACATATTATTGTTTTCCGAGAGTTTCAATAGAAAGGCCGCTTACTAGTGCGGATACTTTCTTCTTGTTTGAATAAGAATAGTGATAACATATGTAAAAGGATTTTAAGCGTAAGTGTTCACATTTGTTCCAACTGTTTTTGGGCAGGCAGAAAATGAGACAAAACATTGTATTGTATTCCATTTCATACTGTCTATTGTTGTACGGGATAAGGTCAACGACCTGTAGCGTCCCGTACAAAAGGCAGCACAACGCACAAATGATACAGAGGACGACACATTGACATAACATTTGTGACAATGTTAGTTTTTTTCACCTGCCTTTGAAACGGAATATACAAAAACTTTATGTAATTAATAATAGACAACGAGTTCAAAATTCATATTGCCTGAACGCAATTACTTTCAGCTTTATTGGTGATTTTTCCTCGGGTGCAAATGCAATTAGTGTGGCTATATTTTTATAAAAAATAGCCTCGTATTCGTCACCGAACGCAGTGCTGTCACGTCATGGAGGATATATCAAATAAAACCAATAAATATTTTATTTCATTGTAGCTCGATGAGAAGAATGTAAATATATTGTTTTGTAAATTGTTTATAATAAGAAACACTGTTATCAGTAACATTATTCGATAGAAGTGTCAGTATATCGATTACAAACTTCGCGACGCGTACGGAAAGAGGGTAGGTAATTACCGGCAACTTGGAGAGTATTTCTTCAGAACCGCATAGCTTATTTAGTACTAATGCAAAACCTTCGTGTTTTAATTAACAATATATACAAAAAAAAAACTTTTTTAAACAATAGTACCGACTTAGAACTCTAAAAAAGTGAAAAATAATATACTTATCTCAAAGCGACTTAAGTAAGAAAATACTGTTAAAGTCGGGTGGAGGTTTTCTGTGGGTTATTATTTAAATGATAGGCTCCTTTACTTTTTTTAAATTTGAAGTCGGTTCTTTTTTCATGTTTTATTGTGATATTGATATTTTTTATAGGTATACTTAATACATAACACTTAAAATGCAAGTAGATTAATATACATGTTTGACAAATACAATGCTGAAAACAGCATCTAAATCGGTTCAGCTAAACGCGAGATAATCGAGCACAAACATACATACATACAGTTCAAACTGAAAACCTCCTTTCTTTTGAAGTCGGTTAAAAAGAGGTTGCATTTTAAAGGGCATAACATCTACGAAATGTATTTTAAATATATAAACTCTTTTCATCCTTTCAAAAGTGTTTCTACAACTTAAATTTTAAATTGGGCTTTGGGCCTAGCCTGATCAGGATTCTTCACGACTTCTATGATTTTCTGAAGGTCACCCAGCGGCATGAAATATTTTGCCAGAATAAATAAATTTGCCAGAATAAAAATGTGATAATGATATCAACATAGTCACCAAGACTATGTTGATATCATTATCACATTTTAAACTTATTACAAATAAAATTATTCAGTGTGAACAGATCACTACTCTTGATACGAAGATAGTTGGCTATGTAACTAGATCTAACTTCCGAAACATCGCATAATCTCGAAACTCTACGATAACCAAATGTTCAGTCGGGCTACTACTTTGAATCCTACCTCGAGCTCTTGAATCGAATAAATTCTTATCAGTTTATCAGTATTTTTTATAAGACAAACTGTCGTTATTCTCAAACAATCACGTAGTTTGTTTTCACAATAAGATTTAAACATCATCAAAAATCTCTGGAAAATATGTTATGAGAGGAAAATGTATTTCAACGAATACGACTCAATCAATAAACTAATCGGTGTAATGAAAATTTCTAATTCTTGTTTACCAGACCGTCGTAAAAAATCCAACCAATCGCTGAAGTGCCTATCAAAGGGGGAAACGAAATGAATATTTAAATTTTTTCCCAGTGCAAAGACTAGTAATGGTCACGAGTACCCTCTAATGCTTCTTGGACATTTTCTGGACCCTTTTAAAAGATTCTTTCATTATCGTGAAAGCAATCTCTATTTTGCTCCATTTCCATCGATTTCAGTTAAAGATTAGATTTTTGGGCCAACAAAAGGCTATAAACCTTCCGAATTGGCCTTTTCGAGCTTCAGAAAGTATAATGAGGGAAGCAAATTGATGAGAGTAACTCGCAAAGTTTAGGCCCGGTATAAGATAACTAAAAACGTAATACTTAGAGTATATTAGATTCGCGTAAAAGAAAATGTTAATAGCGAAAACTCGATGGCATTTTCTGTAGATTAATCTATTATAGCGGGGTGGAAGGTCGATGCCTTATCACAAGACTGTTGTAACTGTTTTCTGTGGTCTCATTTCATTGATCAATAAACCAATGACAGCTAATGAC